GCTGCACCTGTTTATAGCTGCGGCGCTTTCTCAGACGCGAGCTCTCTGTACCTAGTCGGGCGGGAGTAACAAGGCTAAGGCAAAGCGAGGAAGTCGGCCCTGCAGCGTTTACGCGTTCGCTTGCTACTATGAGGTGGCGGGTTTCTCGTCTTGGACCAGTCCTACCCTTGTAAAATATTTGGTTGCAATTTTTGTTGTGGGCATTGGTAGGTGATCGATGTAGCCGAGGGTATGACGGAGGGGTTATCCGAACCAAATACCGAAGTAAGACCTTCTGTTTGGTCATATGCTTTCGGAGACATTATCTCCGTGTTCAGAACTTGTTTTCATCGCATATTCATCTAGTCAGAGTTTCGATATTTTTGGCATATTGGACAGATTTTTTGATCGTAAATTGAATTCACGTATCGTACTAGGTTCCACTCGGAATAATAATTGAAATAATCTAGTGGCGCGGACTAATGCATGTTCTGTTGAGCACGGAATAGGCCGAGTACGCGGAAGTCGATTTCATTGGTTGACAATGTGAATGAAGACGAAATTTTATTGGGAATGTTTATATTAACATTAGGTTACAGACTTGATCTATTGTTATGTTGTGGCCGCTGCAGGAATCATAGCATGCTGCAGCGTAGATAAATGATTCAAGTTAGATTAAAGACGTTCACGCCTAGGATTGTTATATTGGAGCGCATATATTTATTATAGTGCACCACCTCCAACTGGAGGTGGTTTCCGTTTGAGATAGAAGCGGCGGGCCAAGGTAGAGAAATGAGTCGAATAAAACAATGTGCATAACTACGCGCTAAGCATAACCTACCTTTATTGATATATATATTTATTTGATGTAAATGAGATTATTTTATTGGCGCCATGTTCATATCCTTGCACGAAGCGGCGCAGACCCTTATGGGGTCTCGTCGGCTCGATGGATACATAATGTAAGAACAAGAGGATAGGGGTTACAAAGTGTCCCTATCCTTTCTTTGCGGAGGAATGCCCGAGTGAATGCATCGGCCGGTTTTGATGCGTCTCGGGCTTTTCAGATACTAGACTTCAAACTGGGTTTTATTCTAAAAGAACTGCTTTCTCGCTTATTCTGACTTACAATGTATGCAATACTCTGTATAAATTAATATACTGTTACAAAATTCGAAGTGACGAGGGCGAATATACTGGCGCGATTTCTGTGATTGTGACGTCTTCGTTTGACGAGTGGACGCGGTCAATCGGAGGGAGCTGGTTTGGCGATTGCTATGCGATTGGGATGCGTATGTCACAGGTCAAAGAAAATGGCGGTCAGGATATATTCGCCGCTCGTGTTGAATTTTTGTAACAGGTTATATTAGTTTAATACGAGGTATTGCGATACTTGTAAGTTGGCGATACGGAGAAAGTCGTGTTTGACTAACACAGTTGGAAGCTTCTAGTATGCGAACGGAACCAGCAACCCCGGCCCGAGTGATTTCACTCGGCATTTCCTCCGCCAGAAAAGGATAGGGACACTTTGTAACCCTATCCTCTTGGGTTTGGGTTACATTATTGTATCTAGCTCGGACTAGCTAAGGGAGTAAGGCCTAACTTTGTCACAGTTTGTGTCATAAAAATGCTTACACTTTTAAAGAGAACACCGGCCGCGAGCAGCACTACCGTTTGCGCATACATGTCGTATAATTTACACGAAGGCAGTTATATGAGACAAAGCACTGCAACATCCTGTAAATCCTGTAAAAACTGTGTACTATCTGTGTGAATCTGATCGTGAGGTTTCCATGCAGATGCTTTGCCTACCCCGATAGGTCTCGCGAAACAAAATAGCGAAAAACTTGAGGTCTAAATAAAAATACCTAACGGTTTAAATGAAAAATATTTATGCGTAATAATTTGCTTATTCATTGTTAAATTTTTAATTTGTCGTGGGCGTTTGCTAGGCTATTTATGTAAGAATACGGTAAATTTGTTCTTAAAAGAGGTTTCACAAATATAGGTCAAAGGTGAACATGGCAGCCGAAGTGAAACATAATTTTATCGTGCTCTTATTATTGTTTTTATTCACCAACGTCAAACACGTAAGCTGTAGATTTTTAAGAAAATATAGTTTGTTACATGACCCTACACGTGTGTTTAATTTAATATAGGCACAATAACTTAGATATCGTGCGTAAACTACAGGTTTTATTTTTAATGTTTACGATCTTCTCTCAGACTCGGTCAATCGGCGTCGTGTGTCCGCATGCACTTGGAACGTTTCAATAATAAAGTGATGGTAAATAAACACGAAATGTATTTATTACTAAAGACTAGTCTTCAAGTTAATCTACTCTCTTTCGCCTATTATTACCGACAATTTCCTGTAAATGCCGTTCACATGCTCCTCTGGAACACACAACTTCACAAGTAGACCGCACGTACGCCGTCGCCGGTGTGCCCAAAACATTGATTGAACAACAAAATTAGAGAGCAGGGGTAGGACACACTTTTACACTACATTTCGTGTTTATTTACCATTATTTTATTATTGAAACGTTCCAAGTGTGTGTGGGCGTACTATTTATGTGTTGTGACGGTATTCATCAGAGATTACCAATAGCAATACCTGAGTGCTTGTCACTGTTTAAAGGCCCGCTTATGTCGGCCTTACGACCTAGTCGCCGACAAGATTTGAATATCGTACGTCAAAAACCGGCC